TTTTATACTTTTTCCCATATCAGAAAAAAATTATAAAAAATCCTGTGAAATCAGCTCTTAAAGCACTTTCAGATGAAGCAATACACAATTTGCATGCAAATTCTCCATTTGCCGAATAATCAGAATAGAAATTATACATGAGAACGTAGATTTTCAGTTGTTTAATTTCATTCAGCTCTGTGTTGGGTCGTTCCCACAGGTCGTGCTAAAACACCAAGTTTGGTTTTCGGAAAATACGATACATCCAGATCATGATTGACTCCCAATCAGACCGTAGTGTGTTTAGTATGTTGAAGTTTTTTGCCAATGTGCGTTACAAACTCACTATCAGCATAAAGCTGAAAATCTCAGTTCAGAGGGGAAAAGCTTGTTCGAGCACAGTTTCAGTTCAGTTTGTGTTGTGTGCTTAGGTTTAACTGACTCTTGTCCGAGTCAATTTTTCCCGGTTTCCTCGTTCAGGCTTTAGAAAATATGGACGATCGAGTGAAGACTCTCGATCACCTTTTCTTATTTTTAGCGAAATCCCCCCCCCTTTACATATTATATTATATTCCCTTTATATTAAGAGTCAAGACAATGTTAATCCATTTCTGATTGGTTCCCATATTTTAGGCCTTCACAGTGTCACAAACGGGAATAAAGATTACATTTTCACCGATTGCAAAGATTATAATCTGGAATGGACCAAGGAATAACGGGTTCGGCAAGGAACAAACGGAATGAGAGATGGAACGGATAAAAGAATTTGAGAATGGGCCGATCAAAGATTATAAAAAACGTTCAATTTCTGTAATCCTTATTCCCGTTTGTGATTCCATGAGGGGGTGTTGTCTTGACTGTCAGTATAAAAGGACTCCAGTGAAATCATCCTCTGAATTTCAGGAGATCGTCATCGGCATCAGCTCGTTCGAGGCAAGTGGCCCAGTTTGGCAACGGTGGTGTCTCCTTGAGTCTCCAGAACTCCAGATGCTCCTTCCATGACTCACCCCATCCCTCTTGCGTTACTCACCTCCCGTTGCCTGGCTCGGCTGCCAGATTTTCCTCGCCGTACTTTCCGACACCTTGAAACAGGAATTATTTCTTGGAACTTTTGTCCAGCAGCATCCATTCTGAAATACCGAAAATTGTTAGAATTTCCCACGGAATTTGTGTGAACTACAAATTGATTCCTTCCACCCCGTACACTTATTAGTTTTTTTTTTTTTTTACTAACTTCACCAGCAGCGTTGCCGGCCATCTGGAAAACCGGGAAAGTCAGGAAATTCGCGACGACCGTGAAAAGTCAGGGAATTCGTGGGAAATGTCAGGGAATTTGTGGGAAAGGTCAGGGAATTTGTGACACATCTACTAATTGCTAAAACATGTCACTGGTCTTCCTACTGTCTACCCTTTCAGGTCATTTTTAAGGTTTGACATCTTTTACCCAATTGCTGAATGTCTTTATTCGTAATTTGATATCTAATCAAGGGAATTTTTTCCTAAGGCCAGCCAACCTAAGCGCATTAATAATGCAAAGAACGGAAATTTCGTTGGAAGGTAACGGAATGAAAAAATTTTGGAGGCAAGAAAAAGCCAAAGTTGTCAGGGCAAATCGGAGAAAGTCAGGGAATTTGAAGATGAAGAAATTATGGGAACCCTGTCCTCTTAAATCCTATTCCATCCCATGTCATGGCCGATACTCTTCAAGGGTTGCTCTGCACCAGAAAACTTCAGGGGCCGAATTTTGTCGAATCTTTCACACGGAGGTGCAACATCCATCGATTATGTTTGTCCAAACCGCATCACCGGTCAATCAGAGGCGCCATGCCGGACTTTAGTGTATCCACGATTCGTCCGAAGTTTATTTAAGTGCGGTGGGAGGACCGACAAAATTCGCCCCCCTGATACGCTCGAGATCAATTTTTATAAATATCGTTAAATTCTGGCCCATTTCATGTGGCCCTTCGGTTATTCTTGTGGAAGCCCGTAGTTTATCCTAGCCGCGGTATCCTAAGATGGTCTACAAATAAGATGGATTTTGCTGTTTTAATCGATTCGGTCAATGAAGAATTTGAACACAACAATTTTATTGCTTCATCTAAGAGCGCCTAATGAGCTGAGTGTGCGGTATTTTTCATAATCTTTTTCTCACATGGGAAATTGGAAAAAAATAGATTTAAAAATGAGAAAATTTGCCGCCTTGTGACGTCATCTGGCGGGATTTTCCATTTAAAACCGTGTATTTTAACAGATTAGGTTATTTTCTCCAATTTTGTCCAATTTAGAAACCAAAAATATCCTCGTACACGCACAGTTTTTCTAGTATAGTATCATTTAAAGATGAAATTAACAAAATTTAAGACACCTGCAAATTCTCTATTCATCTAATAACGCGGCTTTGTCGAATTTTCAAGGAAACTGGATTTCGGAATTTCGGGCGTAATAATGCTCTCCTCCGTAAGACGGCAGTAAGCGCTGGAAGAGATTTCAAGCTGATTCTTTTCCCTTCTTTTCCTGTCCCATTATTTTGTGCCTGCGTATCGTCTGTCTTCACTCCTCGTATTAGCTCCCTTTTTGACGCACCAGTCTCTAGATCCCGATTCTCATCCTAACTCTTCGTCCTGTTCTGCCGTTGTAAGGAAAAACGCCGTATGAACCTTCAGGCGTTGCCAAATTTTCCCTGATAAAACACGAATTTCCTGGTAAACGTATGAATATTTTTCTTCCGATTTTTCAGATAATGTTGTTTGCAATGGACCACTAGACAAGGCACGAATTCAAGCATTCCGATACATGTTTCTTAATCAGAATTTCACGTAGAACACAATTCGCGCAACGAAAATTACTGAAACCAACTCCTGACGAAGATATTAACCTTTTAATTTCACATTGGTTACGCGGATTTTGAACTGCCCGCTCACAAGAAACTCAAAGCTCTACGTGAGTCAAAGCGCGCACTACAACAGTTTCAGCAAGCCTCTCAATCGAGCACTGTTCATTTCCCACCATGTGTTGTTCAAATGATAAGCAATTTGCTATAGCCGAGCCAAAGCGTCAAAATTGTGGTTGCCAGATTTTCATATCGCAGAGACTATCACGATAACATTCAACGCGCGATGTGAATCACGTAGAGCATTGAGTTTTATTGAGCGGGTGGTTTGAATTCACGCATCAGGAATCATTAAATATCTTCGTAAGGAGTTGATTTCGCTAATTTTTGTTGTGCGCATCGTGTTCTACGTGAAATTTTGGTTAAAAAACATGTATCAGAATGCTTAAATTCGTACCTTGTCTAGTGGTCCATTTCAAGTAAAGTCCCTGAAAATTTCAAAGGAAAATATTCATAACTTTCCTGAAAAATGAGCATTTTAACGAAGGAAATTTGGCAACTCTCGAATGTTCATACGGCGTTGTTCCTTAGCCCGGGAGTGTTCCTCATCTCCTGGAATCGCCCCAGTTCCCGCAATCGCCTCGACCGGTAACGCAGCCTCCTTCGACTTTTTATCAACGACTGAGGTCCCCCCCCCTTACTGGTAGGACAAAATAGTGCTTACTGCGGCTGCGCAATAATTAAGTACTATTTCTATAATCCCACAATTTGAAACATTGAGTGAAGAATATGATCCGATCACCATTAATCTACAGTCTGCTGATGTATACAATTTTGCCAAACCCTTTCAAATGTATATCAAACTGGGCGAAATTCTCTGGAAAAATCAGGATAAACGTTGGGGGAAAATGGGATCTTTTTCGTAGAGCCTTGCAGTTATTTCTTCCTGGGTCGCCTTTGTCAGGGAATATCGGTAAAACGGGGAATGTTAGGGGATTTCTAGCGTGTTTGCTTTCTAAAATGGGTTTGACGTTTCGAACAACAAATATAGCGTAAAAACTTTTTCAAATCATGTATTTTTAACCATCTGGAATATCCAACATTGTCGGGGAATTTTACCTGAATGTGTCAGGGAAATGTTTGGGATTTTCATTTTATAAAATGCACTGAAAAGAAAGGTATCGCCATCTCAATTATACTTCTAGCGGATTTTGGCGCCAGCCATAAGAATAGTCGCATTAGTTAGGAGTGTAAAGGCACCAGCCAGCGGTATAGTTAATCCAACCACACTCATGCTGACTGTGAGGGCACCAGCTAGAGGAATGGTTAATCCAACCACACTTTCAGCTGACTTAACAATACCCCTGGCTTGTGTATGTACTCTAATATCTAGTGCTATAATCAGGTAGGAGTATAGTTCGGATTGTGATACTTTTTTTTCCGTGTGTGTAGCAAGCCTGTTTTTCTAGCCGCGCTTCAAATATTTCGTGGGGAGAATTTTTCTGAAAAGCATTATTTATCCAAAATTTAGGGAATTTCTTTTCTGAAAATTCCCAAAAAGTCAGGGTAAATAAGAGATTTTTGATATTCAACATAACTTGTCACCCTTTCAATCCTTTCGGAACTCGATTGAGCTGAACCGGTATTCTTTTTGTGAACCCATTAGTTGGTTAACTTTAGGTTCGCCTTCGATTTCCTATATAGGCAACAAATGTACCGGGGAGCACGAATAGCTTTCGTTCGGATTAGACACATTTATCTTGCACTATAAACTCTCATGTAGTCGATAGAAAGTGACCGTGGTTACCGTGGGTAACCATAATTATTGCAGATGTCCAATTAAAGTTCGCCTTCAATTTTGGCGAATAGGCAACATAATTGCAGATTTCCGATTGTAGTTCGCCTTCAATTTCGGCGAATAGTTAACACAATGGCAGTTGTCCGATTGAAGTTCGCCTTCAATTTCGGTGAATAGGCAACATAATGGCAGATTTATCGAAGTTCGCCTTCAATTTCGACGAATAGGCAACATAATTGCAGATTTCCGTTTGAAGTTCGCCTTCAATTTCTGCGAATAGGCAACAAACAAGCCGCAGAGCGCGAATAGTTATCCTTTCGAAAAACGCAATTATACATAACTATATACAAGATTGGCTCGTACTGACTGTTATAAATTTCGTTTGTGTTGCAGGTGTACTGTACGAGCACTCAGGATTAGGCTTTGTGTCCGGTGAAGAATCAGAAGAAGCTTCGGACGGACTTTCGGAAGAAGTACCCTCACCGCTTAGAAGTAGAGATAATAGGTTAATTGAGGTAAGGAGACATGATGATCAAACTCGATGGTTCCAGTTGTATGACCTTGCTATAGCAACGCTGCACTGTCTCTTGCAATGGGTCAGTTGCACCCGTCACAGAATCATATATTGATGCTTGATTCTTGTAGATCAGCTAAAAAGAAAATGTTATGCCTGTTACTGGCAAACCTAGGTTTGCCGAACGCCTTTCAGGCAAGCCCCAAATTTTGACACCTTTTTTTTCATCCCTCTACGACCAAACCAGCGATGCGAAATTTCATGGAACCTCATGAGATGAAATTTCACGGATTTTTTTTTAAACAAAGTCTACAATGGGCTCAATATGCCATTAAACGCATAGAAACAGTGAAATTTTACTTTTAAAATTTCTGGGGGAAAATCATAAGTCTTTGAAAGTTTCTTATCAAACTTCCGGGTGGTTTTTGCGGGTTGCATACGCAGCCTTTGAAAAATCGTTGAGCTTTCATTTTGCATCTCTGGGCCCAGAGACAAGAGACCCTCCACTAGTATCTTGGTCATGGTGGAAGCTTTTACTTTCGGGACTTCAGCATTCTACTGTTGACTTACCTACATGGTTGATGTTCAACAACGTGTTGGCAGTTTCGTTTTGCAAACAAGCCGAAAATGGCCGAAGTTTGTGAAACTTGTTTGGCTCATGACGTCACCCGAAGCTCATCATCGACCATGTAGGTAGGTCAACAGCCGAAATTAGGGTGATGACTGTTGTTCCCTTATAATTGTTCATAAGGAACTGTTGAATCCCCAAAAGTAAAAGCTTCCACCTATCGCCAAGAGGCCAGTGGAGGGTCTCTTGTCTCTGTCTGGGCCCAACACAGAATTTGGACTTGAGGTTATGTTTTTGTTTACATTGAAACCATGGATGTGTAGAATTTATCGAGAGTGACGTAGCCACGAAATCAGTCTGTTACTGTTAAGTGTTTTCCATACCCCTGTATCTTATCTGCGGATTAGTGAAAGAGCCAAACAAGACGAAAGGTCAACATCTCGGCTCTCTCGGGAAAAGGCACAGTGGAAAATTAAGCCGCAGGCGCGATCTAATAACGTTGTCGCGATGTTGAAGTTCCAGATTATCTAATTGCATAATGTTCCCATGCCGTAATGTCATCACAGTGGCCATCAGGACGACATAAATACACCCGATCCCGATAGTGTACCGTGCACCAATTCCGTTCCTCCCAATCAGCCCTAATCGGAATTTTCGATTGTTCCCAATTACACATCCCCGGTGAGACAACTGTGCTAAGTGGAACAGAAACCTCGCAATGGACCATATTATAAATAAAATGCTATCGCCATTTGATTCGGTTCATTTTTCACAACGCATTTAGGCTCGTACGATGCCGCACATTGTTGTCGAGTTGCACGAAAAAACAGAACGGGGCTAGAAACACGCTCCACGCACAGGTCAATCTCCCCAATTTCAACATATGTGTTCATGGTCAAAGTTGCTCAACACGTATTTTAATGTCGACTTTTCAAAATCTCCGCTCTTGTTTTATTTGTTGTATGGAAAAGCAATGGATGATACTCCCCGAAATTTTTACGGAACATGCCAGCTTAGTAGAGAAGAAAATCAGTGAAAGGTCCGAGGGATTATGTTCGTCAGATCTCCGCGGTTTCAGGACGATTCATCCAATTTGTTTCGTCCACACTTAATTAATACTATTTTTGCCGTTTTTTGCAAATTGGTGATTGATCTCCATCATCCAGAAAAACTCCCATTTGCATAAGAATGAAACAAACATATCGACGGGGAAACTACCACACCACGTATCTCGATTTGCGACGTCGCAGACTTCCTGTCATACTTTATTTTTTAAATAGAAAACTACTCAACGTCAATTCGTAAAAACTTCCGTGATTTTACCTCTTTGTGCGGAGAAAAATCTGTGAAAATTGTAAGGAATGATATTGATTTGATCTCCTTCAAAAAAATAAAATGTGAGTGGAGATTTTTAAACACCGCAAACGAGATACGTGGTCTGGTAGTTTCACCGTCGATATGTTGTTTCTTAAATGAGTGAGAAGTAGTATAGTCTCGTATTGCAAAATGCAGTCAAAGTGCATTTCGAAATGGAACTTATGAAGGTGGTTCTTCTTTGCAGAACGATTCAACAGTCGACTAAGATTCGACTGAAATGTCGCCTGTGCCTGATGGCGCTGAGGATGAGGGTATTTACCGTCAGTTAAACCCGAAAAGCCCGACGAATTATAGGGAGCCGATGTCATCTGGAACCACCGTAAAATCGGTCTTGGATCAGATGGATTACATTTTGCAATAAGGAACCACTATTTGTGGCCCATTTTAGAGACAACATACACGTCATTGGTTTCCCTATGCAGATACGTGCTTTTGTGGGAGAGCCAAAGATAGTGGTTCGTTTTTGCAAAATGTAATCCAGATAATTTTAAGTGTTTCAAGAATTTTTCTCGAATGATTCAATCGTTCAAATGTTGGTTTGTTAAAGCAAACCAGTGTAAATTTATTTGCTCAGAAAATCTGAAACGTAGAGTTATCGACAAGGGGGCCACTCTTGGGCCCACCCCAGCTGAGTACCCTCAACTCAACAATTTCTCTCTCATTGGAGATCTATATTGGTTTTATTCGGTCCCTTTTCAGGTCTAACATTCGCCTTAACACATAGGCCTGAAGGCCGAAAAAAGCGGGGGGAAAGCGGATTTTTTGGCATTCGACTCCAAACCCGCGTTTTCCTCCAAAATCGGACTTCAAACCCACTTTTCTAGGCCTAAGTCAGACGCGGAAAGACATCGAAAATGACCATAAATCATGATGCATTCTGCAAAGTGTATAGAGCGTGTAATGAGTAATGTGTGTAATGAGAGAAGAATCGTTGAGTTGAGGAAATTCATAGTGGGCCCCAAAACAGCCCTTATGGATACCCCTCCTTCCTTTTAAAATTTCGGGAAAACTCAGGAAAATCCGAAATGAAATTTTAGTAGACAGTCCAGTTTAGAACTCATGTTTTCATTTCCCGAGTTATCTGACCATCATTTGGACCACATTTTACAATAAGGAACCACTATTTCTGGCTCATTTTAGATACCACATATGAGCCGTTGGTTTCCTTGTGCAGATACTTGCTTTTATGGGAAAGCTAGAGATAGTGGTTCCTTATTGCAAAATGTAATCCATTTGGACGAGAGCTCGCCTGCGGCAACGACGCATAAATGGATTGCATTTTGCAAAAAGGAGCCAGGAGCTTTGCAATGTTGCTGAAATTATGCATCTTCTTTTGTTTTGCAAGAAAAACTTGATTATTCATTAACAGTTCCTATTTTACTCGCTAAAAACTGTAGATTCAAGACAACAATTATCATGTAAATGTCATATTTTTTCACGGTTTCAGTAATTTTATTGAATTAAATTTGAAATTTGACAAAATAAACATGAAAATTTGTAGTTTTAGTCAAAAAGTTCTTGTCCGACCTTTGCCATCGACTCGGTCCACTGGATCGCATTTAGCAAGAAGGAACCGGCGTGATCACTGTGTCGTAAAAATGTTGCTTCTTCCTAATTATCTAAAAAATCTCCTAGAATAGCAAATAGTCTCTACTCCCCACCCAATAATTGTTAATTTTAAAGGAAAGTAATGGTGTAAATTTCAATACTTTACATATATTACGTATTTTTAAAAGAAAATAGAAGTTCAGGGTATCCACAAGTCCGAAATTTCCGGAAAGTTTGGAAATAGTTTTGATTTTTCAAGGACGGTCCGGAAGTACTGAAAAAGTGCGGAAATTCCGTTAAAAGGTCCGGAATTTTTCATTTTCGTCGTAATTTGAGAGAGAAATTCAAAATGTTGACATTTTTTGAATCGCGTCAAATGGAGGTACTGAAAAAGCACTGAATTTTTCCGTTGAGGAGGTACTGAATTTCTGAAAAAGCACTGTGAAAGTACTGATTTTCGGGCAGCCTCTTTTAGTCGACACCCTGAAGTTGGAGAGTTTTGAAAAGACTATGATCGGGCTGGTTCCTTATTGGTGGGCACCCACTGTGCGACGCATGAATATTGTGTATTACGCACTATCCGGCGGCCAGGTTATATTTAACCTGATAGAGTGATAAGGGGGAGCAATGATAATGCGGCGGGCGATAACGGACGTCGGGATGATCCGCCGTCAGTGAGTCCGCGCCCGGCGCCCATGAACCCCGAGCGAATCTCAGTCCCCGAGCACAGCATCCGACGATGGTCCTGACGCGCCCCCGCAAGAAGCACCCGCTTCTGACGTTCCTGTTCGGGAGTAACGGTGAGATTGTGTTGCAGAAGGACATCAACAAGCGGCTGTCCCTCCCGGCCAACTTCCACCTGCCCGAGGACTTTCTCTCCAAGTGCAACTCCAGCCCGACCGGGACCGACGGCCCGCTCACCCGGGCCTCCCGCCGGCAGTCCCTCTCCGAGATCGGATTCGGGCGCAAGGAGACCTACGTCAAGCTCAACAAACTCGGACAGGTACGTCGCTCACCCTAATTTCCATCATCCCTCCTCCAGAGCAGTGTTCGAAACTCACCTTTGAGTCTTAGGAGCCAAGTGCCGCATCAAGCCCGATTTTTAGGCGCCGTTGAAGATTTTTTAGGGGCCAAATTGACTTTTTGCCCATTTCGTCGTTTCCTAGACGAAGGAACGTAACTACAAATCAATGTTGCCAAATTTCCCTTCGTAAATTGCATTTTAACCAGAAAAATCTTGGGCATTTCTAACTGAAAATTTCACTGATTTTTCTTCAAATTTCATGCAAAAATCAGACAAATTTGGATAAAAATTGCACACTTACATTTTTTTAAAATAAATTAATTGTTGGAGTCAATTTGGCAACCTTGGATTGGAGTTAAGTTCCTTCGTGCGGGAGACGACGATTTATGACGGCGCATTTAGTGAAAAGTTAGACGCAAGATGTTTTCGTAACAGAACTAGTAAGTAGCTGTAACTTGGGGGAAGACAAAAGCACAGGATGAAATCGTGAAGAAAAGAAAAAGCTTTCACTTGCAGTGCTGAAAATTTCGAATAATCACCTGATATGAAAATTCAGATTTTTAGGGGCCGCGTTGGCGCAGAACTTTCATTTTTTAGGCGCCATGGCTGATTTTTTAGGCGCTGTGAGTTTCGAACACTGCTCCAGAGTCTTGCCAACCTGGAAAACCAGGGAGCCTACAGCCCGTATCAGACGATCAAAGTGGAGCTCTCAAAATGGGGTCTTGTGACCCTCCATTGGCCCTCTCATTGCCTCATGCCGCAATCACACGCTGAATGTGGCTTGAATGTGAAAATCATCGGCCCGATGCCCGCGCGCAAAATTCAGCAACGATTCTCAGCGACCATCGGATAATGTCGGATTTGTCTGAACTCTTCGAATAGATTTGATGAGCCCTGGATAGACGATCAAATTCCGAACCAATTCCGACCGAAGTAGACATGCTGACGACTGATGGTCACCATCTACCATCAAATTTTGACGAGCCGCACTTACTTGTTCAAAGTAAGATCAGAATGGAGTGCCACCATTCATCATTTCCTGCCACAGGAAACATTTCTGCCGCGACTCCACTTTGAGAGCTCTACTTTGATCGTCTGATACCGGCTTAAAGCATCCCAAGTAGCACATCTATACTTCTATACTATAAGCTCCAAGACCTCCTAATTTTGCGAAACTGGTGACGCTTAGTTCCAGCGTTCTACCGGGCCGATTTTCATGATTTTTGCGGCAATCGACGGGCAATTGTCTCTAGATAAGCCAACTCTTTTTGGATTTTCAAAATATGGCCCAGGTTTTTTTATATTACGTGGTAAAGTTGCGAATTCTCCCATTTAAACAATGTAAATTTATACTTTTTGTCATAGTTCGTTTGAGCGTTCTACCGGGCCGATTTCCATGATTTTTGCGTAAATCGACAGGTAATAGGCCCTAGATGAGCCCGCTGTAATCAGATTTTGGAAAAAGGACCCAGGTTTTTTTAAAATCACGTTATAAAAGTGAGTGAGTTTACAGAATGCTCCGGTACTGCTACCGCTATGCGCGGGAGGATGCGCAGTGGTCGAGGAGGTTGCGCAGTAGCTGTGTAGCCTGCGCATCAGCTCTACACTTATCTACACAAGATTCGCGCCAGTGTCCACACGTCGAGCGGTGGTCGAGTCGTCTAAGACGTCGAATGCGTCCATTTTGAACTCGGTGTGGGTTCGATCCCCGACCCACGAAGTCTTAATGATTACCTGTGTGACTATCACTGTGCATTGTCTTACTGCAATATTTCATCAAGCAGTCATTCCAAAACGCGTCCTTTTAATTTTAAAGTAATTTTAAGTAATGTTTAAAATTAAAGTATACCTCATATCGTAATTTTTTAGGGGAAAAATAAAACTAACACCGATAGGAGGATAAAAATAGGGCCGCAAAGCGGCCCATTGATGGCGCGGAGCGCCTTCAGGGGGTTGGGCCGCGTAGCGGCCAGGGGGCGTAGCCCCCTAGTATTACAATAAGTAGCAATTGCACTGTAAAACTATTGCAATTCCACTGAGTGTTGTGTATGTTGCCTAGCTCCTATTTGAATGGGCCCCGTTTATTGAAACTTATTGCAATAAAATTGAAGTAAGTTGTTATTTTTCATTGCATTGCATATTGCCTACCTTTCTGACACATGGAGCTCATTTTGTTGATTGTTTAAAATCGGCATAAATCGACTAAATGATGTGAAAATATTGCAATTTAAGGGTAAAAAAAGTTTTCAATATCTTCGTTGCGCCGTGCTACGTGAGCATCCGTCCTCCAGAGTCTTGCAAACCTGGAAAATCAGGGAACCTACAGCATGGTCCCAAGTAGCATCTTTCAACGGAAAAATCGCGATATTTTGAAATTAAGTTGCAATTTTTGGCGATAAAATCGCCAGAATCATCAACATCGAAGCGATTATCCTCGATCTTGTCGCAATTTAATCTCTTTAAAATCGAGTGTGCAACAACTATTGAGTGTCTTTTTCCTTAATTTGAGCCTCTTTAAGAGAAGATTCCGTCCGCAATTTAACGAAAGCAAGCGGAATAATAGAAAACAAATCTAACTGGAAGTTTTGTTTATAGGTCACGGAAAATTAGGGAAAGTTTTTTAGTCAGGAAAAAGCGAAAATAATTATATAATTTTACCCTACCCTGAAAAGTTTGGAAAGCCCACAGAAGCTTGAGACTGTCCCCCTCAGCTAAAATAAATGCATTTGTTCAATTTCAAGAAAAATCACGTTTTAAATTTTTCGTGAAAATAATTTTTATGAGACTATGCCCTTGAGAAGACCACTTCACAAAGTCACCGTTGAAATCCAAGGAAACTTATCACTCTCCATGGGTCAAAACCGTGTTCGGCTGATAACTACTCTAAGTGTAAACAAAATTGAAAAAGGGTGCAAAAATCAAATGAAAATTTTGAAATGAAACGTTGCCAGCGACTGTTACACAAAAAAGCAAATACAGCAAAAGTCCTGAGCACACTCTTTTTTCCTTTTCAAGTAACGAGTATCTTCTGTGTTTCCCTTACTTACTCAGATTTTAATTAGGCATTGACCTTTTAACCTAATTTTACTGACGTTGAAAAAATGCGAAATTTCATGACTGCTCCCAGATTAGAAGCAGATGCTTTGCGTAATCAAAACCAATAGGTTCAAAGATTGCCAGATTCCTGCAGTGTATACATTTTTTCACCGAGAGCACTAGTGAGACACAATTTTTGTTTTAAACTATCTCCAACAGTCAAACAATTTTTTAAAAGGGATTCGTAAGAACTTTATTAAATTTTAAATCACTTCTAGAAAAATCACTTCCACTGAAAAGGCTAAAAATAGGACAGTTCTCTTTGAGGGCTGATATGTTATACAGTATGCAAGTCAACTTATTTTTTTGGTTAATTTTTAGCAGCTATTCTAGTATGGAAATAAACATAAATTTTGATTTTTCAATCAGACTATGTGTTAACAAGGTGTCCCGATCCAACAATTATCTATTGACGAGGATTTGAGGATGCATCAATATTTAGTCCGAGCAGGAGAAAATAAAGTTTATCTAGTGATAATCATAAGAGGCTAAAACTTCATTGTAAATCAATGCTAGTGCTGAACAGCTTTCATGTTCGTGAGAGCATTGGTTAATTTTGGCGTTTTAACTCACTCATAAATGACTTCAATGAATATGCTCTCGTGCATTTTCATTTGTCTACATGAGAGGCTCGATAATAACCTGTAATACCTTATTATTATCAGCAAGGAGACAACAATGACTTGCCCGCTCTTTGGTCTCCTTGTAGGTTTAGGTTAGTTCGGAGCTTCTAATGATTCAAATGTAATTGCTTTTCTTAAATTGTGTGCTTTTAATACGCGCTGCTTGATAACCCGGAGGCCTTATTAGTCAGAAGTGTTTACTGATAACAAGGTATAGCTAGAGTACAATAAGCATTTATCAATGGTCCACGATCAAATCGGTTTGAAGTAGTTTTACAGCCATGAAGTGTATGAAAGGGAAGATCAGTCCTTATTTTTAAAAGATGAAAGAAAGAAAGAAAGGGGGGGGGGTATTAAACTAACAATAAGCTGTGTACCGAGAAAGTCAGTACCTTTTTCAATCTCTTTTTCTATCTTTACCACTACTGTTTTATTTCTTTTTCTCGGTCATTCTCTAATTTCTGAGCATTCTTCTCCTCTGAAAATTATTAGAGATAAAAGAGGCCCAATATGTCTGCAGATTAGACGTACTCTCAGGTTTCTTTAATCCCAATTGTTTTAAATCTTGCAAATGTAACCTGGAGGAGGTCAATTTCCCTGCATCCTGCCCCTTGTATTTCCTGCCCTCTGGGTTGGAGGACAACCTTCGATGAAAAAAGCTCCAAACAGGTTATGGCCTGGCATTCAAAATATTGCTCTTACCGGCAGAGAAAACATGCTTTTTTTGTCTACGAACAATGTTTCAAAGCAGAATATAATTTACACACACACAATGTATCCATCATCATCCAGCCTAGAGGTTTTTATTTTTGCTCCTTTAAAAATGGATGAATTTCTTGAAGCTAAAGGTGCAAAATCATTATCCTCATGAATTGTTTCAAAACTCAATCAAAATATTTTTGACGCAAAAATTCTGTAACTGGCTCTGGGACTACCTACAGAAGTGTGTTTGCCAATGGTATCCGGGCCGAAACATTATTTTTGGATGACATTTTTTGGGACATTAACTCCAATTCTTGGGCGTATTTACAAATCTGCTCTATCCATCGCAAGAAGATCAACTTTCTCTCTTTAAATTATACAGTTTCTAGAAGCACCAGTTTGAAAGAGTCATAAGATCTACGTTTGGTACTCAAACAAGCGTCATTGATAAAAGTCAAAGCGTCTCTTACACGACCTTGTGAAACTAATTATTTACGCCTATCAAGCTTATTGTTAGTCCATTTCAAGTAAGACGCAAAAAGATATATCGTTCATCAATGGAAGGGAAAAAAATCACTAGAAGAATAATTATAAGCGTTATGTCAGTTTCTGTTTGAAAATAGATACAACTAACCTCAGTTGAAAAAATCTCATCGTGTACTTTGGAAACATTTGATTCAACACAGATGTGTGCCAGTGAAGAATATTGTTTTCCTTATCTAACTTTCACTTATCTTTTCTCTCATGGGATCTTGACTTCATTCATCTATTTCTTAAACTTTTTCCTCATTTGCTCTGTATCATAGAAAACCACTCACAATCAGAACTGTCCTCTTCTTTTGCTATTCTCTTTCTCCCTTATTCCACATTATTCATACATCATGCTTTTTTATTATTCAAAGTAAAAACTTCTCGAAAATTCTGTTAAGAATCAGCTTGTACGAAATAAGGTATTGAAAATTACAGGTTTCAATTAATAAATCTGAACTTCTTTAACTTAAACTTCATAATTCCCTTCCTGCCCTTTTTAAAGTTTTCACTACGAAAAATGCTAAAAAGTTTCATCCCTAAATAATAAAAACTTTTAATTCCAGAAATATTCATTTTTGTTAACAATGATACTTTGCTCCGAATGTGTAGTATTGTCACGGAAGAATGATCCATTACAGCGTACACCAAATAGTCAGAGCTTCCATATCAGTCTGAACACAGGAGGAAATGTCATTTTCCCATCATAGGAATTGTTAACATTCATTTTTTCATGTGCTGTTGGTTGGTTACTTTTTTAAAAATTTGGTCTAGCTGGAATTCAGTGTATGTCACAGTAGGTAAAGCATCCATTCAGCATCAGATTTCTCATAAGAAGAATCCGAATGTTAAAAGATAATTAATTTGCAAAAGATCCCATACCCTACGTTGTATGAATATCGACAGTCTTAGTCTATCTTTGCTTTATTTTTGTCCTTCTTTCTTGTGCCTTTTTTTTTCTAACATCCTCAGTTATTTTTAGAGTATGTTTTTTTATTTTGAGTAGCATTGCGTAAATGAGTAATCAAGTATTTCGTCTTGTCGGAAAATGTGCGGTTTTCTCTCTCTCTCTCTCTCTCTCTCTCTTTCTGCCTGGAAGCACTTTAAGTAATTTCTTTGCGTCGGATTTTTAGTTTATCAGTTAATTAATTCCCCTCAAGCTTGATGAATGGTCGTGAATAAGCATTTTATTCATTATTGATTCTCTTTCAGAAACTCATTAAAGCACACCTCCTTCCTTATCATACACTGATAACCTTTGCTATCTTTCCCAATTTAAACTTGCCTATCAATGGGTTTTTGACCAAGTATAATATTTTTTGCATTTCTTTCTAAATACAATGGGGAAATATATCTTGTTGGGGGAATATTATCGTAAACTTAGGAAACGTTTCTTATGTAAACAAAATTCATATTTTCATACATGTCATATTTGGGTGAATGATCGATTTCATGCTTAATAATTGAAATTGAAACCCTTAAAACAGACATTTTCCATTTTTACCGCACCTTTAATGAAATCAACACTTGTTTCTGTTGCTCTTGCATAGCTATGGTAGTGCCACTAATCATGAAGAGTTTTAGGAGCAGCTATTTTTGATTTCTCGAGGTCATCTGTCTTAAATCTTCAGATCCTATTAATACAAGAATTGGATGGCTGTGATTGATTNGGGGGGGGGGGGGCAGAGAGAGAAAGGTTGAACACTGTAATAACAGAATTCCTGCAATGTTATTCTGAGTTTTACTATTATCTTATTTTTTAGACTCTCAAGGTGCCCAATTTTTCTAAGTACAACATTTTTTAGGCTTCCACTCATTGTCGTTAATTTTTTCACTGCGCTTCAAAATGTGCTATTTATTTGTATGCAATTTTAAAATAATTCTTATTATCTCTGTCTGTTCTTCAGGGCTCCTATGCAACAGTGTTCAAGGGAAAATCTAGATTAACCGGTTCCCGTGTGGCACTAAAAGAGATAAGACTGGAACACGAGGAAGGAGCGCCTTGCACAGCCCTCCGAGAAGTCTCACTACTAAAAGAACTGAAACATGCGAATATAGGTTTGTTGAAAATTTTTTCTAATCTGCTAGAATAATATTCATGCAAGTTTCAAACTTGAAAGAGACATTTTCATTCGGGTTTTACGTTCATAAAACTTTGTCTAATTGTGACATGTTTCATATGATGATCTATCCTCGATAGTTTGTCTGTTTGAAATTGATAATCCATTTAAATATTTTTATATAGTGCTCAAAATGGGTCTATTGCAAGCAAATGATACTGCCGTACTAAGGAAGAACGCCGCATGAACATTCAGGAGTTGCCAAATCTCCCCGAATAAAACATGTATTTTTGAAGAAAGTTGTGCATATTTTTCCTTGAAATTTTCAGATATTTTAGTTAAATTGCGGCAATTGCGGCATTAGTTAGCAAAATTGTCTAAAAAATTGGAAGAAATATATTCATAAGTTTACCAGGGTGAATATTCGTGTTTTTATCAAAGGAAATGTGGCAACCTCTGAGGGCTCATACGGCGTTTTTCCTTAGCACGGCAGAATAAATGTACTTTTTATGGGTAAAATCACACGAAAATTACGTCGGGCACGTTCAAAGAGTCTGAAATTAATTCCTGAGTGCACAATCTGTGTGGTTTGTAACATGCTTTTTCAAGTTTCCCGCGTCTGCGAGTAGCTTTTTTCAGCCAACGCCGACCAGGATTGCACAGGCAGAGGAGGAAGAAATATTAACTTGAATAAACAAACGATTCCACTAACTTTATCTACCGCACGATTTCAATCATTTTCAAGCATTTGTTTCCTTTTTCTTTCTTTATTTTGCAAAAACAAAAGGTTTGAATTAATTCAAATCTTCTGCAAGGAGAGTTTATAACAGTTCGCGAGGATTGTTTGTTTATTTAGGTTAGGTCATTCTCCGGGAAAACCTGACTGCAGGTCACTAAGAAAAACTGCCCGCATATGGGCTAATATTGAAAAAACGTGTTACAAACTACACAGATTGCTTGCTGAGGAGTGGACTTCAGACTTTTTTGTTGTGACAAACATGACTTTTGAGCGCATTTACGCTCTGAAAGTATTCAGTTGGCTGTATCTCTTGCATGCAACAGTCCCATTCGATTCATATTTATTTATTTATTTATCTATCTATCTATCTATCTATCTATCTATCTATCTATCTATTATATAACGGGCTAAAGCCCAAACTAAATAGAACAAAACATAAGATAGCACAAAAACAAAGCTTAAATGAAGACAAACAAGATAACAAGTAAGAAGTAAAGATGAAATAGAAAACAAAGTACCCTTTAATACATTTTCATAGCATTTCAGCACCTCCCCTTTTGAAACATTTTTAAACTGAGAAAATACAAGAGAAGATTTAGCGAGATGAGATGGTAACTTGTTCCAGGACCTTTTAATTCTGACCACTACAGAATTGAAGCGATATGATGTCCTGGAAGGTCATACAAAGGCCTGGAGACTCTTAAAGAATATTCTAACTCTCTCGAACTGAAAAAATTAACAAAACAGGGGACTTAACATAATTATTTAAAATTTTAAACACAAAAATTAAATCATACAGGAGGTGCTGCGATTCAATTAAAGGAACATTGAGCTCAACTGACAACCTGCTGTAGTCATGGTCGAGGATGCTCATAGGCCTCTTAAGCTTAAAAGACAAAAAACGTAAGACCTGATGTTGGATGGACTCGAGCATCTGCCACCCTTTCTGGGTAGATGGTGACCAAATGGGGGATGCATAATTGATAATTGGTAATACAAGTGACTTATATAGATACAATATAGTATCTACGCTTAAGTCCATGGAGATCCTCTGAATAAAACCAAACATTTTAAAACATTTTATATTTATTCTGTCCAAACAGTGTCTGTGTGTGATTTTGACTGCATTCAGTAATTTCTTCTGTTAATTACTTTCATGTTTCAAATTGTTGGTAGTAGTCAAACAAACCAATAGATAGAATTGAGTTAGGGTGTGTTGTTCATATTTCTATAGAATCAATGTCTTGAATTAAACAGAATTCTGAATGAAGTTGCTCTTTCGAGTAAGCACTTTTCCCATTGCACTTTCTTTGCTAATTAATATTTTTGTCATCTTTTTTCAGTCACGCTTCATGATATTGTTCACACGAAGAAAGTCCTGACTCTAGTGTTTGAATATTTGGACAAGGACTTGCAGCAATATATGTGTGAACATCATCTTAATGTACATACTGTTAGAGTAAGTCTAATATTCTTCATTAATTTTCTACTTTTTTGTTCTCCCTCCCCCTCTTTTCCTTCATAGCAGTTATTGTTGGTTCCCAATAAGATGTCAGACAGTTGCTCTGAGTATAATGAATATTATAGTTTCGTGAAGGAGCAAGGTATTTTTATTGTTGCCAAAACTTTCAATTTAGATTATTTACATCGAGTTTAAAATCTAAGTCTGAAAAAAGTGGGCCAGGAGGAGGCAGGAAGAATAAAAACAACTTCTCAATCGCTCTTTCGCTTCGCGGGTGACTTTGAGGCTCGCCTCCCGAGCTTCCATGAAGTGGCATCATCAAATTGATTAATCTTTTCCCTAGTTTTTCTTAAATAAATTTTTAATTTTTTTCTTTCCAATTGATTTATTTTTTTTAATGTTATTTTCATATGTCTTCAATGAATGAAAAACATTTTTCGTTGAGGAAAGAAGAAAAATGCCCTGACGAACCAAGGTACACTTTACCACAGGTGTGGAAAAATGGAATTTTACAAAGTCGTCAAAACGCGTAGATTTGACAGCGTCCAATGTTACGACTGCAACGTCATATTGAAAACTTGTTTACTTTCTGTTCTGAGAGTGGGTCTCGTCAATTTTGTGTTATTTTTTCGTGTGTCTAGTTAAGTTTTTCGTCATTTTGAGTTTTATCAATTTTTTATATTCATCTGATAGCTTATTGAAGCCACCAGATCTGCCAGAATCTCTTCGAGGGTCATTTTGAAGTGCGCGGCAAAGACGGTACGACTTGTGACGTCACTTGATGGCCTATATTCTCAGCACTGCCACTTTGGCATGCCATTTGTCCATACATGTAGTAGAGTGTACCTTGTTGACGAACAGAAAGTATTCTGAACATGTAGGCTTCTACAAAAGTAGTTTGTCATAAACAATGTTTTTTGTTGTTGCATCCGCACCATACAGTCGTTCCATTTTAGTTATCAAACAAACATTTTCTCAGTGAGTGCTAGAGAAATCAAGGACGCTATTCAAGGGAGCGAGCAAAGCGTCTGACAGGACAGGCTAAGGATGACTAATAAGCTTTGCGACGCCCAATCGCCATTGCCCCCTATCCTCCCAGAAGTCATCAGGCAATTGGCACCTTCTGATCTCCTCCTCCACCCCTTGTCGCCAACCTTTCACCAACCAACCAGGACGTCCACGCCGCCGCCTGCCGGGAGAAACCTTATCGAAAACCTGCTTGGGCGATTGATCGTCTGCCATCCTTCGCACATACCTATCCATACCAGACCAACTGCTTGGACCTGATATCGTGCACAATGTCCTTCTTCACACCCATTATCTTGTGCACCTTTTCATTATAGATACGCTCTCTTCTCGATATACCAGCAGATCTCAGCCAAAAGTCCATCTCAGTTGCTCTAAGCATGTCTAGGCATCCTTTGAACTTAAAGCCAAAAATTGTTAATTTTAAGTTCTGCACAGGCACATCTTTAACGTGAAATTTTAGGGGATTTTGATCACTTCGGTGGAATGGAAAAATTACTTGGAAAATCACGGAATTTTTTTCCCCAGGTCTGCAGACACCCTGTATTCAGCATTTTCCATTGAACGGTGTAAGATTCGTTTTATGTTTTCTAGTGTTTTGGGTCAACTGATTTTTATATCTTTGTTTTTTTTCCCCCAGTTATTTTTATTCCAATTACTCCGAGGCCTTGCATACTGTCATGAGCGGAAGATTCTACACCGGGATCTCAAACCACAAAATCTTCTGATCAATGACATAGGAGAGTTGAAATTAGCAGACTTTGGGCTCGCTCGTGCCAAATCCGTCCCTAGCAAAACGTATACCAATGAAGTTGTAACGCTGTGGTATAGACCTCCCGATGTTCTTTTAGGTTCCACCGAATATTCAACCCAAATTGATATGTGGTAATTATTGTTTTCATACGTCTTCTCTTGTTTTGTTTTAATGTCAATTCTAAAATTGCACATAGTATTCGTTCATTACATCCAATGGAATGACTGGTTGACAATTAAAAACGAGCTTTCTTTATGAACTTCTAAATTTTGTGTCCAAAAACATATATCGACAGTGTAAGTTGGCAAACACATATCTCGGTTTGCGACGTCGCAGACTTCCTATCATACTTTATTTTTTAAACAGAAAACTACTCAACAGCAATTATTTAAAACTGCCGTGATTTTTCTTCTTCATGAGAAGAAAATTCTGCAAAAACTTCAAGGAGTGATGTCAATTTGTTCTCCTTTAAAAAATAACATATAGGAGGAGATTTTCAGACACTGCGAACGGGCTTTGTGATTTCCAACTTACACCGTCGATATGCTTGTATAGTTTCATTTTTCAATCATAAAAAGTTTTTCCGCTGTGTGAAATTGTGTTACGTATGGCATTGTGTTTGTGAAAAGAGTTTCGGTAGAAGTTCCAGCATGCAGCACTGTAAGTGCAAAAATGTTTCTTGTAAGGATGCCCATCATTTTCTACATGTGCAGCTTTTATTCAAGAATCTGCAAACAACTTTCAAGTGTCTCTTTTATAATTAGAATCTCTAGAAGTGAAAATGTATCATAAAGTTCAGTTAAAGCCAGCAAAATGTAAAAAAAAAAAAAAACTCCAAGTGAAAGTTTAACTCAATAGTCAAGAGAAGTGAGAGAATTCAGAAATTTTAGTCAGAAAATGTAGAAAAAGTCAAGGAATTAAGAAATGAAAAAAATGTTGGAATCCTTGATCAATATCCCAAAGAATGTGCATGCTCACAAGCAAATACATGAAGTATGCAGTCATGAATGAATGTATATCAATGGTGACACTACAAAATTGTGTATCTTTACCCTGGAACGCTGCAAATGTCTTCTCCTTTTTTACTTTTTTGAAGGATGATTTAATTCTTTTGCAATAGACCACTAGACAAAGTATGAATTTACACATTCTGATACACACGTTTCAACCAGAATTTCACATAGAACACGACTCATGCACCGAAAAGCACTGAAATCACCTCTTAACTAAGAGAATAATGTTATTTTTATACATTGGTCATGGTAAATTTGAATTACCCAGTCACAAAAAACGCAATAGTCGTCTTGAATCAAATCATGCACCACAGCGGTTTAATCAGCTCCTTAATCAAGCAATGTTCCTTCCTTGCCTTAGGTTATTTAAGAAGTTAAGGATGTACAAAGGCTGCATTGAAGCACCAAGATTGAGGTTGCCATATTTTAATACCACAGAGACTGTAGCGGTAACGTTTAGTGCACAGTCTAACTCGCATAGATGTTAGTGTTTTCATGAGCGGGAGTTTTAAATTTATGTGTCAAGAAACATCATATATCTTGGTTAGGAGTAATTCCAGTAATTTTTGTTGCGCAAAGTGAGTTTTACTTGGAATTTTGGTTAAGAAACATGTATCAGAATGTTTAATTTTGTACCTTGTCTAGTGGTCCATTTTGTTTGATATTGTTTGCTCCTTCAATGAAATTTGTGTAACATTACAAGCAAAATTGAATGTGCAAATATTTTGCAACATTGTAATTGGGTATGTATTTTTGTAGTTTCACCAGCGACTTGACTCCTGACAGGAGGTTATTTTATATTATGTATTATAATGATTGAATTTTATATTTGTTAATAGGGGTGTAGGTTGTATTTTTTATGAAATGCTGGAACATAAACCACTGTTTCCGGGCTCAACGATTGAAGATGAACTGACACTAATTTTCTCAGAACTAGGCATGCCTGAACCGGACACATGGCCTGGCCTAGAAATACCAAAACTCAAATTAACTTCAAGTACCCTCAATCAAAGCTTATCAAAAGCGAATTTAGGTGCTAATGACAGCATAGTCAACAACACTTCGGTGAAACAACCACATAGGACCGTGCCATCTCGATCACTCGTACACAATCCTGTGGAGAATAAACTCCTGTTGAAGTTCCTTACGGTAAGGAGTTCTTCATTTTAAAACTCATTAATTGGCCTTTTGCAAACTTTTGCCAGAGCAAAAATAAGAGTTTTCCCTTGTAGAAAATGTTTAAAAAATCATGATGAGCGCATCGGCAAAGTCTGAAATGCACTCCTCATTTCACAATCTGCACGGAAGCGTCGCCCATGATGAATATTGCAAAACATTCTATGAGCAGGGGTTGAATAGAACAACTCCTCTAAAAAAATGTTCGCCTGTGCCGAAGTATCGTTTTAGAAGTGGAAAGCTCAAAAAAACGCAAATTTCTTACGCAGACTGTAAAGTCAGAGGTGCATTTCAGAATTTGCTGATGCACTTATCATGATTTTAAGCCATTTTGAAAAGAAACAACTTATTTTTGCTCTAGTAAAAGTTTGCAACAGGCCCATTTTCATTTGTGTCCTGCTTCAAATTCAATGTATTAATTGAATTGCGTCTTGCTGAAAGGATATCAATCAAGTTCTGGAAGTTTTGAAATTTTGATGCTGCAGCGCTCACAAGGATATGTTTGATACATAGTTAAACAATTTTTTTCCAAGGTTTATACCATAGATTTTAGTCTTATCAAGCCATTATTGGAATTTTGATTTGCAGCACTTACAACAAATTTCTGCACATACTTCAACAATTTTTTCTGGGGTTTTGAAAAAACAGCGTTTAATTGGTTAAAAGTCGTAAACTCAATTTCCATTGAGGTTTTTACATCTAATTTAAAGCACTGAACTGTTTCGCTGAACTAGTCGAAATTAGTCTAAAAAAAGGGTAATTTATAAAAAACTCAATTTGTAAAAAACTCAATTTGTAAAAAACTCAAACTTGATTTGTCCAAACTTTATTTCCCTAGGAATTTAACTATAACGTTAGTCAAGAATAGTTTTACCATCAATTGAAACAGCATTGCACTTCTAGTAGCTCCTTATTGCGAGTGCAGTAACAACAATTTATTAATCCTGAATATGAACTCTATTGAAAAATCAATCTCTTATTATTTTTTGTTTCAGTATGAAGCTAAGAATAGAATATCAGCCAAAGAAGCGATGAAAGACCGATTCTTTAATTCTTTAGGACCTGAAGTTCATAAGCTTCCTAATAGTGAGTATTTTGTTAATTACTTTTTCATTCCTGACCTTACCTAGAAAAAATGTAACGAGAAAACCTCGAAATTTAGGTATTGACATCATTTCTTAGAGGAGTGTTTTACAATTAATTTGGCGCAAAAAATTTTGAACCAACCTGGATTTTATGACAGATGGATCTTTGCAATTCTTTGTACGGTAAAACCTTGATAAAACAACGGTCAGCGGATTGGCCAAAATTATAATTATTTAAAGTTCATCTTTAAGAAAAAAGAGGAAAAAAATGCAGGCAAAGATGTTGAAAGCTCATGCCAGCAAAGGACCCTGTACACTCCTTATGGGGAAGTGCACCACGGTCGATTTTAATTTTTTTTATAGCATTCAATTCATCTCAAGATGCTGATCGAAAGTCATCAATGCGCAAACTTTCTATGATGCACTATTTTCGCACGATACGCCCAGAAGGCTTCAATTATTCAGCGATAAAGTGTCAGAAAGATTTCTCATTTCAGCACTTGAGAGAACGGTCAGCTGTTTGTCAACGAGGGAATTAGGGGAACTCCAGCACCGAGGGGAAGTCTTATCTTGGATTCTGCACGCCTTTTTGCTTGACCATCCAAATCAGATTTGTGAGGAGCATAAGAACAGGAAAGTTGGAGAAAAACAGTGAACGTCAAACGGACGAGAGCGAGAGGAAGATAGCCCCAGAGTAGGCAGGGATAGATAAGAAGTCAGACTCTCGCTACGTTTTTCCTTATTTACATCAGACCTGTTCTTGTTCTTTGTGACTCTTTATCGCCAAATAATTGATGCGTTCCGGGCGTATTGTGCGAAAACGGTGCATCGCAGAAAAATGGCGCAATGATCACTTTTGATCAGTATCTTGAGATGAATTGAATGCAGTAAAAAAATTAAAAATCGATCGTGGTGCACTTCCTCATAAGGAGTGTGCAGGGTTCTCTAGTGATGGTACACAACCCATCAGGAATATGAGCAGTCATTTTTCAGCTTACTGTTTCTTAATCTGTTTTATAAGTAAAGAAAAGGCGGGTTAGTTAGTTGATGTAATTAGCTAAAAAAATATCCAATTTTATAAATATTCCGCTGAAAAACACCAAACTCAGGCACGTCCATACGTCTCTCTGGTAATTTTGCAGCAGCTGGGATACAAAGATAAACTTTGGTAGAGCCCGTTTTGCACAAAACTTGATAACCATATTGTCAATTGAAACTGATTACCTTGAAATTGCGGAACCATTTTGACTCTACGAATTAGTGAGTCCTTGTGGACCAAGCTTTCGACATAGCTGCAAAAACTTTTATACTGAAGGTCGTCACATCGAAGTATTACTGCAATGGTGTTGAGAAAAAACTATTTAAAATTTTTACTGACCATATTTAAGGCTCCAAATTGCAATGTGTGTTGCAATATGAGATAATTCCCTCGCACTGCTAAATTCTGTTTTGAAAAATTAAGAAATCCCGTGAATCAGAGGAGGGAGGTTTTAACGGAACTCGACTCTATAAATTCTCCGAACAATAAGTTTGTTTTCAGTAGTGTGCTTGAGTTTTGTTGCTATTGGTTCTCTAGAAGTGAGAAGTTTTGATCAAGTGAGTTTAATGTAAACTATTAATGCTAATTTCTCCATTAAAAGTTGATTTTCTACTTTTCAACATGATCAATTTGTTCTGTGAGAAATTTTGACGCAAAAACATACCTTCTGGTACTTTAACGCGCACCCTGTCTAGTGGTCCATTCAATTTTTTTGTGTGTGTTTTAGTTCCAGTCTGCGTTTTTTAAGGAAGCAAAGAGAGAGAGTATAAAATCTATGAAAATTCAAACCTTCTGTTTAATCTACTACTGGAAGGAGAATTTATCAGTCATTCTAACAATAGAAGTTATGGTTAACTATTTTCAATTTTTGATTTCAGCTGCATCAATATTTTCACTGCCTGGAATAAGTTTGAAAGGATCAAATCCCAAGAGAGGTTTACCAAGAGGTACCCAAAGGGACTCCCCTCTCTGGTTCCAAGAGGTATCAAGAGGTACCAGGATCCTGAAGTAATATCAATGAGTCTTTCCAATTGTCTTTAAAAAAACGGTAATTGCTTGTGCATTTGTTGGTTCTCTCTTTCATTCGCTTCAGGACAGATTTTCCTCTGATTTGTATCTTTTATAATGAAAAGAGCACTAGCTCACCGATGATAGTCACTCTTTGTACCAGGCGTGGGAAATCTCTGCTACACGCAAGAATCAGTAGGCTACAGTCCAGCTTTTTGGATGAAGTGTTCAAGATTCGAGGACCTCGGAAATTTATTCCGTTCTTTTACAAGAATCAAAAGAAAGGTCTCATGGCTTAAGGCAGTATTTTTTTGGCTCAGTTTGATTCAAAAATTGTTTGTGTGTCTGAATTAAAGTTTAACCTTACCGTAAAGTCTGTTTTGACAATCTTAATTTTAGTTGGACACTAATATGGCTCTGAAACCTGTGGTAAAGAGTGAAAGCACTAAACCGATAGACCTGCAGATGTTTTAAGTAAAGAGTAAATCAATATTTTTCCCCCTTTTTCTGCGATAAAACTTAGTACCTGTCATCTACCACCGCATCCAGAAACTCTGAATTCTGAATTGACTTTGAATTTTCCCCAAGTAGTAATTTCATCACAGAACACAATATTGCGAAATAAAAAAGTACTTTTAACGTTTTTGTTATGTCAGAATGGCAGAATTTGTCCTTGTTGTGTATAATTTGTATCTCATGGATTATTTGAAAGTGCCCCTTCGGTCTTGTCAATGAATCTAGTGGTGTATGGCTTCAACCCTTAGAATTTTAAAAGTTTGGTCCCTGTGTGAAAATGTGCTCCCCACTTTTCCTCCCAAAGAAGGTTATCCATGGACCCCTGAATTGTAACCGAACAGAAAGAAAAATAGAATTAGGTCAAAATAAATCCACATTATTCAAAAGCCCAGTAACTTATTCTTCGCGAAGCGATTTTTGCTACAGTTCTTGCTATTGTCCCAAAAGCACAATTTTAAGGGGGGTTCTGGAAACTATGATGGAGTCCTCTCGGTTATTGTACAATTCTATGGCTACGTTTCAGCCAGCATTCTAATGTTCATTTACTGCCGTAAGTAGACTCTGCGTTTATTAAAAGTAAAAAAATTGAATTAACACTCATAGAAAATGCTACTTTTTTTTATCTAAGAGTTGTATTTGGAACTTCTTGATGTCTTTTTTGAGATTCACTAAATTTTTAATGGGATATTGCTTACTGTGGTGCTCAATTCTAACTTAGACCCAGGGTCCATTATCAGAGATTGCCATTCCTTGTCTCCTAGTACTGCAAGTACTTCCATGTACTTCCAAAAACGATAAAAAATCTGCCAATCCTTCATATCTGTTGATATTTTGGTGAAGATAAATAGTTGTGAGTTGGGTGTGAGGAGTGAACTTAGTTTTAATTCTAAGCACTGATTCTTATTGTTTTTGTTATCGAACTGATACTTTTAAATGTACAGTAGCCAATTTGTGTAGTGTGTTTTAACTTTTTTCTTTGTTTTCTATCAATTTTTTATTAATTTTTCTTTAAAGCAAAATCGAAACAGTGTGATACTTATCAATTTTTTGTCAAGTCGTAATTTAGTTTACGAATTTGTTTGATAGTTTTTGTCACCAATATTGTTCTCTTTTGGCTGGTCAGCTTACACTTGCATAAATCTTGTGCAGACAACTTTTATTACAGTGAAACCTCAATAACTCGGTTCCCGGATAAGCCGGTAACCTGCTAATCTGCTTTAGTCGGTAGAATCGCCCACAACGCCTTTTTCACTTTCAAATTTAATTTTAACTTATAGTTAACTAAAAAACAGTGCAGGCATTGTAATAGTGCATACATAAATTCTTTGGGAATTCTCTGTGTATGCACTTTTTTCAAAGTTTTGAAGGCTCTTTAGAAGCTAAGACCATTAACAGTCGTAACCGATGGGTGCCAATCCTTCAAGCAAGTCAACTGCTTTTGCTGTTTTCATGTATCCTGTGCAAATGAGGCAAGAGCTGTGCCTTTAATGTATTATGTCCATATTTATAATAATACTTTCTACTAGAAATTCTAATCAAACGAAAGGATTCACTACTTCAGTTTGTCTGCAAATATTTTCTCTAATTTACCACTGAGATCAGCAAATATGTTGCAGGAGTACGACCATGTGCCTGCACATTTAGTCAACTTGAATTTAAAACGATATCAAGTCAAAATTTTTTCAGAACTTTTATCAAAAGAAAAATGGTGATGCCATCAAAGTTCCCAGTGTCATCTAATTATATGCTTAATCGTTTGTCTTATGAAGAAAGCCCTTCATAGAATCAAACTGACCTATTTTGTCAAAGTCCAATTATCAATCTCACGGAAAGGAATTAAAGATTTATAGTGCATAAGAAATAATATTTCCCTGAGTTGTATGTGTAAGAATTTCAGCACCCTATCTAGCATCTTTGTTTTTGTGCCTGTAATGTATCTCAAGGTGCCTTGTCAAAAAACCACTTGATCTTGATTGAGTGAATAAATTACAGAAGGAAAAGAAAACCCCTGCTAGAGATTGAATCTCATCAAAAATATTCTGTAAACATGCATAAACTGTGTGCTTAGTTGTTAGGGATCATCTGGATTTTATGGGAGATTTGTGTAGTCTTGTTTCATTTACCATTTCTTGAGTAGTTCAAGTGAGTTAATGAAAATAAAATCAACCCACGCTGTCTTTAAATTGGCGCATACACACCTATGTGCCATTGGTTGAAAAGCCATTTTTTTAGGGACGTGTAACTTCTGTATTTTTTTTTTTTTTTGAGCTGAGTTTTTTGAGGGTTTCTTTCCTCCACTTTCCTTCAAGTTAAGTTTGAAATTTTCCAAGCTTTGAAAATAACTGAAGTTATGCTTGAGGAAATTTTAATCAAGCTGGAGCCCTGCTGATAATGAGTTGTAACGTCCAAAATCACTCTTGTCAGACAATGAATTTAAGGAGGTTTAGACTGTATGACAATATGGGGTTGTATTTTTGCTTGAGTTCTAGCACTGTTTTTTTTTTATGAGGATTGTGAATTCTTGTCATTATGACATATTAAAATATACTTTCCCCCCAAAATTCTAAATATCTACTAGAAACGTAGGATAAAGGGAAACCTCTGCCGAAAAAATATTGTTTCCTTTATTTCTCTGACAATATACAATAGAGTTGACCTCTCTCGGTTTTGATAATCATGTGAGCTTTCACACCTTGTAAACTCCTGATGATGCAAGCGCTGAAAGCACATTATTTTAGTGCAAGTGTAAACGACCGGCCACTTGGTCTTTTTGTGTCCGTAATGTGTCATTGTCTTCATTTTAAATTGTAACTACATAGTGTGAACAATTTTTTCTCGTTTGAAAACTTTCGAACAGTTGTATGTTTTTTGAAGAATTGGCCCACTCTATCAGGAAATGTGTATGACTCTTTTTGTATCAAGGAAGCATCTGTGTTAATTACGTCAAATTGAACTTACATCAAAATCTTTTTAATATTTTAAGAGAGTTTTAACCATTGGAAGATCAGAGAGAATCCTTGAGGTTTGAGGTCTTCGCTTGAGTTAAAATCTGAACAAAATTTTCTGATTTTTTGGCTTTGAAAATGATCTCAAGGTAAGAGACAAGTGATGAAGTTATCAAAAGTGTTGAAATATAATTCTGATTCTAATATTTGTAGACCATCAAATATGAACATGTTATTAAAATATTCATGAAAGTAATTTATTATTCCTCCTCTTTTGCTCCCAGTATTTAGCCTTTGTGATTTATCGTGCAATGCGTTTGTAATCAAGCCAGCCGGAAAGAACCATAATTGAAAAAACCAAGTCTAGAGGTTTGTTTAGTTTCACATGAAATAGTTTTCATGCTTGTATTTCGCATCCTCACATAAATTTCTATCATTAATTTTTAAGGAGTTCAAATGAATGCACCATCTCTTCACCCGACCAAATCATTTGATTTTGAATGGTTCTTTCCTGCTCTGTTTGATTCATCTTGCAGAATAATGAAATTCAGTACAGATATTTCTGTTCGTTTCAAATGATACAGTATCCTGAAATTTGTTGCCTACACTTTAAATGTATTTTTTAGTGCCTGGACTTTGTGCACAAGAAGAATTTATATCAAATCACAATAAATTTTTATCAATTTAGATTATTTATAGATTTTACGTATTTGTTATCTTTCTTTTTTCTTTGTTACCGAGAAATGGATTTTCTTTTTTATACACTTGTTCAAAAAGTTGATCTTTATGTAATATGTACGTAATTAGCCTTACCAATACCTCTACTGCAAATATCCTCGTCATTTTTGCAGAGAAATTCTAATTTTATACTAACGCTGTTGCTGTAAACGGCCTGTACCTTCATCAGTACTCATGTAAAGTATTATTTACACCAAATTTCAATTAAGTTTTCAAAAATGTATCCATGAAGACCAATTGTCCTGTTATTTTAGTGTGGTGACAACAATAATTAATATTATTGTAACAAAATCAAATTTAGAAAAAAAAATGAATAAATAAAGAAACTTTGAAGATTCATTCCAGTTTTTGTGAATTGATTTTATTATTCCATACGTCCTGCTGTAACAATCAGTTTCTTACACATTTCAAGTAAAGCATGTGCCCACCTACACTCACATGTGTGCCTCTTTTTTTCATAACAAGTCAGTCTGAAACATTCTGAATACAGATGTCTCTTGTTTGAGGCATGGAATTGTTGCGCTTTTTTCCTCTTCTCTTACTCAAATCTGTGTAGCCCAAGGAGAAAGCAACGTTCAAGGTTGCAACTGAAAACAACGTCTTGAAGCATTGTGTTTGGAATAAACACTAAAACTTTCTCTGGAGCATGATGCCGTTGTTGCGCAACAATAGACTATTAGACAAGGTACGAATTCAAGCATTCAGATTTTTGTTTCCTCTTCAAAACTTCTTGTAGACTGCAATGAAAGCAACGAAAAAAAAACGTTTATGTATATTAATATTAGCTCCAAATCAAGACAATTTCGTTGTTTTTAGCATTGGTCACGAAAAATTTGATTTTCCTGCTTTATTGCGTTCAAAGTGTGAACAACGTGCAATAGCTGGGCCGAATTACTGATACTATGGTTGTAATATATTCCTACAACAAGGACTGTCACTTTAACGTTCAATGTGTGATTTATTTCAAGTAGATAATTGTATTTTCTGTGAGGGGAAGTTTGAATTTATGCACGGGAAAACGTTAATATTTTAGTGTTCCGTCCTAAAAATCGAGTCCTAAGCGAAATTTCGATGAGGAATCTTGGATCATAATGCTGAAATTTGCAATTTGTCGAGTGGTCCATTGCTACCTCAGGGATTCCTGAATTGGACGTATTTCTATCAAACGGACCTAAGCGCCATAGGGTGAGGAAGGTAGAAGGGGGCTTGGATTGGCGGCAGAATCGAGCGTCCGGCTTATTCCGTCCTATACTCGCAATGCTTTTCCATGGCGTTTAGGTCCGTTTGACAGAACGCGCTATCTGGGATTCTAAATTCCTCAAAAGGAACTCAAATTGGCGCTTAGTTCCGTTTGATAGAAATACGTCCAATTTTGCACACGGAATGAAGTTTTGCTCCTCTTACAAACAACTCTGAAGAAAATGCAATAATTGCTTGTTTTTGTGAACTGATGCAAGTGTTTTTCCCAAAACTAACCATTAGAGTTTGTTCAGAATTTATTTCAAAAATTAGAATTTGAAAATCCATGAAAGCGTGACAATCACTAACCAATCTGAGAGCGGCACATTTCTTGAGCAAAAAGGTTGAGAGAGCAATAATTTATCTACATAGGTACTCTACTATGCAAGTGCTACAACTAATGACAACTTCCATGCATTTCTGAAGAGGTGAGAAATGCGGAAATGCATTCAATTTTTGAACATGCAACACGTGCATTCGTGGAACACGAAAAGTTGCATCAAGGCGCAATAACTAACTCAGTGTAGTATACGATGCATAGATCAAGACACTAACCGAATTATTAGCCTTAGACATTTTTAGGCTCAGGCCTCGTGCCACTGACTGTTGATACCCCCCCCCCCTTTTAAACGATTCCTGACAGATTTCTGATGATCGATTACCCAGGAGGAAATATTCCTCCTGAGCTTCCATACCAATTTAGATATATTGAATTTTGGGGGAGGAGGGGGGCCTTGTCCCCCACCTTCAGGGGTCAATATTCCGAAGAGGAGCGGTCCTAATTTGGATTGTTTGATATAATTGTGGATGAAAGTTTCCTTATTTTCTGAATTTGATGGAGTGATTTCAAAAATTTGACGAGAACCTCAACTTATAACCTCACAACCCCCCGTTTATCTCCCGAGGGATGCGGGGGGCTTTGGAGTCACGGAATTTGGATGCCTTGGGGTAGATTCCGTACCTATTCGTTCCCGCAGTCTTCGATTTCATCTGATCAGTTCAAGATCCATCCGATCAGTTCCTCTCAACAAAGTTGCATGGAGTACATACTCTATGCAAAGTTGCCACAGTCATGGAAAACCGGGAAGTGTTAAGGAATTTTATAAAGTAAGGGGAAACCGGGAAATGTGAGGGAAAATGACGAAACCGTCAGGGAAAGTGTGTTAGATCACCTTCATTTGTTTTCTAGAATGGATTTGAGCTTTCGAACAAGAAATTTTGCCAGAAAACTATTTTCAATTATGCCTTCTTAACCATCCGAGACATCTTCAATTTTCATGGAATTTAGGGGAAATGTGTCAAGGAAATCAGGGAATTGTCAGGGCATTTTATTTTCTAAATTCTGTGACAACCATGTCTTAAGCAATGAGGAATAAGCGAGGGAGCGACTGATACCACATCACATGAGCACCATCGCCCCAGTTCGAATATTCACGCGCTTGATCTCAGAATTTAACGTTGTGAGCATTATGCATACATTTATTTACGTCATAAATGTGAGACAGGTGGAATACCAACATTTTCCTTCATTTTTGCGTGATACCACATCACGTACCTACTTTGGAGTCCGAAAAATTGCTCGCTCGATTTCCGCATTCAATGGTGCAATTATGATACATACATGAATGTCAGTAACTCGCGACACATAAAAAGCCAAGATTTTCCTGCAAAGCGGCGTGATACCATATATCATACCAACGGCGTAGTTCCAATAGTGCCAAATGGATCAGAATGAATGGAAATGAAATGGAATGAATGGAATGAATGAATGATGTGATGGAGTGGTGTGGTGGTCCAATTGGATAACTCTCCTCTGGTACGTATCTAATAGTTCATACTTTCTTGTCATTAAATGTTATCCATTATTGCTCTGTAGTTGAAAATTGGTGCAGGACACATGGGTCAGTTGCGCCTGACAGAATCGTATTTTGATGGTGCATGTAAGCTAATTTATCAGCAAAATGGACAAGTGTGCCCAATCGCCAATTTTTTACTTTCAGTACCAACAGAAATATCGCCCATCAAATAACATAGCGTATAACATCATCCACCGTGGAACTGCATACAGTCTTAAAAGATTATAGAAGTTAAATAGATTGCGAGGGAAAAAAGGCAGTAACCGGTTCTTTGTATACATATCACTGTTTGATGAAATTAAGGGGAAAGAAACCATGATATGCAGCAACACGGCATCAGACGTCATACACCTTATTTTCCGATGGGCAATATCTCCGTTAATATGAACGTAATAATAATGTGTTCGAAAAGATCTAAACGTAGTTTACTTTTTGCTAACAAGCTTAAACTATCAACATACGAATCTGTGACTAAGGCAACTGACTCATTTGTATCATACGGTAGGCGCGGAAAGGCGTCACTGATGAAACAAAAATGCATAATCAATGTATCGACGGTCGTCGATGAAGTAGGTGAAGTTTCAGATTTAATACCATCCAAATGATTATTTGCACGGAGATAGTCGGTGAAAAACCCGATTATCCTTAAAATTATCATCATTCGTAACTTTTCATCCTCCGCGAACACTCCTCTCCTCCACTCGAACTGCGGAGTAAGTACGTGATGTGGTATCTTGCGAAAATGAAGGAAATTTTTGGCGTTCCATTTCTCATAATTTTCTGACTTTTTATATTTTAGGGGGAGGGGGGAGGTGAACGTATGCACAATGCCACTACAACGTTAAATTGGTCTGTTGCAAGCAAGAGATACAGCCAATTAAACACACTTTTTAAGAGAAAATTCGCTCGAAAATCACCCTGGGCACATCAAAAAAGTCTGAAACCCACTTTTTAGCGCGTAATTTGCGTGGTTTGTAACACGTTTTTTCAAATTTACTGCGTATGTGGGCAGTTTTTCTCGGTGGCTGGCAGTCAGGTGTGCCCGAGGAGAGACCTCCTTGCGGAAGATTTTGATTGATTCAAAGCTTTTCTTTTGCAAAATAAAGAAGAAAAAAGTAAACAAACGCTTGAAAACAAAAAATAGAGAAAGTTAGTTCATCGTTTTTGTACTTTGAGTCGTTCTTTCTTACTTCTCTACCTCTCGCTCTTCGGCGAGTGAGAAAAACTGCCCGCAGACGCGGGAAACTTGAAAAAGCGTGTTACAAACTACGTACACGCAGATTTCAGACTTGTTTGGTGTGCCCAACTTGATTTTCGAGTGACTTTACTTTTACAACGAGTATTCAGTCGGCTGTATCTCTTGCGTGCAAGCGACCCATTCTGAAATCAAGCGCGGAATTACTGGTACAGCGGCGTTGGTATGTGATATGGTATCACGCCGCTTTGAAGGAAACTCCTCCGTTCGGACTCAGCGGAGTAGGTACGTGATGTGGTATCACGCGGAAATGGGGGGAAATATTGGCGTTCCACTTGTGTTGTAAAAACACCGTGTTCATTCTGTTAAAGTTTTCATCATGGAGACCTCCAAATCCGTCCGAATAGTTTTGAAATTTTAATTATTTTCTTGATGTGTTGAATGCGACAGTTCGAAAGTACCGCATGCCAAAAGTAAAAGACAAACGTAATTTTTCGGCAGAAATTGATGGATAAGCCCCGAAACCCGTTCCAACAGAGTTAAAACTTCAAAAAATTTCCGAGAGGGACCTCTCGGTAGTAGGAGGGCCCTCGCCCCCCTCCAAGCAAAATGACGCAGGTACGCATCTAAAATCTGGCATCAGTGCATGGTTTGATCATGTGGCAGTGAAGGTGCGAATCCTCTCATCAACCCTCGGTCCTCGGTTTCCTCTGTGGGACAGGAGGCCTGAATCAAAAATTCGCCATTTTTGATTGTCTAGCGTGCTACTCACTATCGTATCATCCCCCCAAAAAATCATATCTGATAGAGTACAAATCTAATAGGAGATAGAATAAAATCCTTTCGATGGATGGAATTAACATCGAAGTATTCGCAATTTTAGTCGATGTCCAACTTCTCCTAATGGCTCGTTCAAGTAAGCGACGATCTACTTCCTCATCCCGTTGGTCGTAATAGTACGCGGGGTACACAAAAAAACCCTGCACTTTTCGATTGGAAATTGCCACTTTCGGGGATCATTCTTATGGTCATCATTCTTATGGTCATAA